TCAAAGCACGCATAAAAGAACATAGGAACAGTTTCCAGAAGGAAACATATGCTGTCTACTTTCTCACAGGGGGACATGAGTTCAATCATGAATTTCCAGAAGAAAGGTTGGAAATTTCACCTGGAAAATATGAAAATTCATAAGTACGAAAACTCTCAATCTAATAAACGATCAAATTGAGTTGAATAGCTCCTTGTTACTTAATATGTTCCAATCAGATAATCATTACACATTTCACCATTTATTACTTGTTTTCACCTGCTTTCACTTTTCATTAAAATGATTGTATTCACTTTTTTCGAAAAGTTGACACTGTAGATAATATACCTCCTCTTCTATTATATAGTCATAACCTTAAAAATAAAATTGTTATTTGTCGAAATGATTTCCGTTGACTTTCCTATATGAAAAATACTACAGAATTTCTCACAAAACACTCAATCTGTCGAACTCTTTTGATGTGCCGCACATATTTGGGTATAGATATATAATGATTGTGACTCTGCGAATCTCTCTTGTCAATTTCTGTACCACACTCGTACAAAGTATCTACTGTGCATGAATAATACTGGAGTTTCATCCCAACACTGAACCGTCATTTTAACACCTCGACACGTGTTTCGATCACCAAGTCATCATCTTCGAGAGGAAGAATAAACTAAATATACATACAATGTTATCCTCAGGTATACTATACATACCTCCACTAGGTCCCTAGGTCTTAATTGTCTTTGATTGATTTTATAATGTTGCCTTATCAACAAGCCGTGAACATATTTCAACAAGCTATATAGTATACTATTAGGTATTGGTTCACCATCGTTATTCATAATATTATGTTTACTCATTTCTTCACTCTCGTAGGCGCATCTAGATGCCTGTTGTTGTTAATATGTATAACTAATCTCGAAGCACTGGAGTCTATGGAATGATGTTGTTGCAAAATATGATGGGTGACTGCTGATTTTTCTGGTCTCCCAGGTGTGCTAAGTGTTCCTTATATCTTATTTCAATAGATCTTCTAGTCTGTCCAAAATATTTTGCATCGCAGTCCTTACATTTAATTTCGTAAACTCCAAACTTTTCCGAATTTTCGAGTTTGTCCTTTAGATTTCCTAAAAGGTTTAGTAGTATATGAGTTGTTTTAAATACTACCTCCATAACTAGTTCCTTGAAAATATTTCCAAAGTTCTTTGTGGATTGGTGGTATGGAACTAAAAACCAAAATAAATATACTCAGTTCCATACCACCAATACACGAAGAACTTAGGAAAGATTTTAAGGAACTAGGTATGATGGTGGTATTTTAAACAAGTCATACACACAGAGCCTTTTAGGAAACCCAAAGGACAAAGTCGAGAATTCAGAAAAGTCTGGAATTTACGAAATTGAATGTGAAGACTGCGATACATGGACAGACTGAAAAATCTATCAAAATAGGATATTAGGAACACTTAGCACATCTGAAATATGGAAGACCATAAAAATCAAAAGTCGCCCATTATATTCTGCAACAAAACCATTCCATAGACTTCAGTTCATCAAGATCAGTTAAACAAGTTAACAACAGTAGGAATCTTATAATAAGTAAACATAATACTATTATGAATAATGATGGTGGACCAATACCTAATAGCTTGTTGAAATAATATTTTGCCTATCAGATTTATCTAACTACTACATAATTCCACATTGTGGAATCAATTCAAGACTAGTAAATAATGCAATATTGTAAAATTAATTTAAGACAAGCAGCTACCTATTATAGGTATCTATGGTATGAATGAGGATATCATTTATGTATATTTGAAGATGATCACTTGGTGATCGGAACACGTGTCGAAGTGTTAACATAACCGTTATCACGGTTATGTTAACGTACTGTGCAACAAAATAACCTTTCATAAACTCCAGATATGAACATATCAATTTGGTGTACTCGTTCTCTTTTACATTGAGTGCGTCAGTTATTGATTCTACACCTGTGTAAAATTCCAAACTTTTTTTTGGGTCGTCCAAGAACACTAAAGTCATTATACAAATGAATTTGACGTATCAACACCTACTTATCACCATATTTCCTTGTAACAGACTGTGGCTGCTCATCATTTTGAAGTTCAACTCAGTACCTACACCTTGAACTTCACTGTTTGAGAAGATGCAGCTGCAGTTTCGTAAGAATGTATCATCTTTCCCTCCAACCGATTTTCCGGAGTCTGACCGCTCTGGATTGAATGATTCCGTATAGTCCATCTCGTCTTGTGTTTGTAAATCTTTTGCTGGAAAAATCCTCACTTGTTTACTTCGTAGTAAATGTTCAAGAGGTAGCGAAAACTTATGTGAATTTCTGGAACTTCATTTAGCTTTTCCTAATATGACTAAAAACCAGTCCGTGCAAAGCTTATTGTTAAATCATCTGAAAATGGAATTTTTAACAGGTGATGATCGACTGTATTTCCAAACATGCGCCAAACTAACTGACTGTTATAAGGAAACAAGTATAGCTGAGGCACCAGTATATCTAATAATAACACTGATGATTTTCAAACAAGACTCAACCTCTGACGGAAGCAAGAAACTCTTTGGAAGGTTCGAAACAGATGAACATTTTAATCTTGCAGACCACTATTATAATATTCATGCAGTCATTGTTCACTGTGGTTCTGGCGTTGAATTTGGTCATTATTACGCCTTGGTCAAAGACGAAACGGACTGGTTTAAGTTTGACGATAGTCGTGTCATGAAGTGTTCTGGCGATGCATTGAATCTATTGGAGCCTCTGGAGACACCGTACATTTTGTTTTATAAGAGAGAGGATCGGTAGATCAAGATCTTCAGATGATGTGGTGCTGCAGGTTTTTTTTTGGTTTTCCTACAGCTGAAAAAGAAAATGCGCCACTGGAATCAATGAAGTCGCCCCAGAGCGCCAATTAGTTTTTATGTTGTTTTCATTTTTATCGTTGTTTTAATAAAATGTTGAGGAGTTTAATCTTCCTCTTGAAGATGATCACTTGGTGATCGAAATACGTGTCGAGGTGTTGAAATAACGATTTGGTGTTAGAAAAAATCCATAATATTCATTATGGGATCTCAAAATGAAATGTTACTCGAGAGAATTTTGTTTCGTTCAGGTTCCATCACATACAAGAATCAATGGTAACAAAAAAACATATCCGTATGTCAATAATTCTATAATTTATAGAAATTCAATGTGTCATCCACAGATATTTAATTCATGATGAGTGATTCTCGAGTAAAAAAGTGGCAAAATGAGTAACAAGACTCAATGACGAAAAATAAGAGAAATCACACATTAGGTGAAACTTTTGTACGACCCAACGGCAAAACGTATGGATCTCGATAGGTGAAAAAATGAAAAAATTAAAAAGTGAAACTGAAACATCAGGTGTAGGATAAATCCAAAACAAGAACTTTTTCACCAGAAATGCAAAACTCTTCTCGAGCTCGTTTCACCAACCGAATTGGCGTCTCCTGAAGATGAATCCATACAATAATTTAGTCGACGGTCGACAATTATTTAGTCATGTGATAGAATTGGCTAATACTTAATAAAAATCTTTAACGTATTCAAGTTACACTTTATTGTGAGACTTTCACTGGACAGAATATAAAAAAGCTTGAGAAATTGGTAAGCTACTGTATAGCGAAACGCAGTTTTGTTATCTGTCTAACTCATTGAGTCATCAAGATTTTACCTTATTTGATGAAATCTATACATTTTGAGTTTTGACAAAAACGACAGTCTGAAGTGAAAAAGGTAAACCATTGATTTTTTTTGAGAATCAGAAGTATCATACATATCGTTCTTTAGAGTTGAGTGGATAAAGAGTTTGGTGTTGTCGTTCTAAAAATTGTGGTTCAAAATATATACTACTTTGGAGGACGAATCGACATTTTCAAGAAAAGTTGTTCAGCGTAACGCTCCAGTAGTGAAAGAAATCCTGAATTGGAAAAAAAATACACAATTCATTGAACGGAAAGTAACAGAAGAACTGAACTTCAGTGAGAAACCTTCAAAATTAATTCATGGGCAAATGACTCCGTTGGATACATTGTCAACAAAAGACGTCAAGTGCATCCGAAATAACATCAGTGAAGCTAGGCTAATAAACTGCCAAAATTACCGGGTAACATTGAAGAAATTTTAATAATATCAACTCGAAGACATTTGAAATTGAAAAAACACGAGTGTATTTGAATAGTATCAACTCGAAGCCATCTGAAAATGAAGAATTCATTTTTATCAATAACATAGAATCTGAAATCGTCATATTTTCATGCAATATTTATAAACAATTCATGTGCAGTTAAAGTACATATATTGATGTAAAGTTCGTCTTTTCCGTTGATATTTCATTTACATGTTCACGATACACGTTCATTTAAACCGATGTTCTTCATTAATGTATCAGTAGTAGCTTAATATTTAAGTAATCGATTCAGAATCAAAAATAATCAATAAGAAATGTTTAAAAATCAATGATTATATGATTTTGTATTGTTTTTCACAAATCAAAAGGGAGACACAAATATCTTCTTCAAGCAAAACTAGCACTCGAAATTTGTTTACGGGGATTCGGGAGTCGGCTCAAGTCGTAATGAACTTTTGACCGTAATTCGGGAAAACTGAAGCATATAGAGAGAATCCCTGTAAACTACTCAGAAGAAAAATATATGACAATTACAACCCAAATTTTATTTTCAACACATAATAACCAACAATAATCCTGTGATATCTCATTTAAAATTCCAAAAAATATTTGATGAAAACTGTAAAATTGAAACCCTCAGGAATTTCCTTGAATAAACATATAGAATTACAAACCTGTAATTAACCAATATATTCTACTCAATAACCTCATGGTTGATGCGTTTTCTTAGTTGAAAAAGAAAAAAATATATTAAACATTCCTGAAATAGGATAATTGTTCATTCACTCGTTTTTTGAATAATAATACTATCCAAACATAATCACTCACCGACGAAACAAATGGCAATCACCAACGTCGCGATGGGCCCGATCCTGGCCATATCGATGCTGCACTAGAAGGCACGTTTCCACTTCACAGTCTATGGTCACGTTCGATGTCTTTCACTTCGGAATCGCGTATGTTGAAACTGCAAAACAACCTGGGTTGTATACTTTTGCCGAAGACCCCCTCTTCCATCGACGCTCTCTTATTTGTTGCAGTGCCAATATCGCATCATTTCAATTTGCATCACTCGAAAACGATTACTTTTCTTCGAAGACGAGGCAGAAATTGTGTATTCAGTTCATAGAAGTTGTTCGAGGATTTACTAAAGAACTAGTTCCTACGATCACAATTGTTTGACTCTCTTTGATAGCGCTCGAGGTAGCGCTCGAGATAGCGCTCGAGGTTAATATATTGAAAAAACTTGAGAAAAACTGACTTGATTCTTCAATTTGGCAAAGCGTAGGTACTTGAAACACACAATTGCTCATAACAACAGCACCCTTTGTTTCTTTTCACTCTCACAGCACCAAAAAAGAAATTTTTAATTATCTACTGGCAGTTACTAGTTACTGGGAGATTATAAAGACATTGAGGCACTTTGCCCATACAGAAGAGGTTGCAAACATTTCCTGAAAGTAATGTATCAATGTGTCTTGCTGTTTTATGAATGTTTGACCTTTCACAATCTTATTCGCCATCAAGATACTTTTTTCTCGATGTGTCGGTTGAAATAAGTGTTATCTAAAAAAATTCAAACTAATAGATATATCTGGTATAAACCTAATCATCAATCCATTGAAAACGATATAGCTATATGTATACAGGACAGTTTACAATTCAGCTCATAGAATAAAAGAGAAAGTAACTGTTTTCGGAGCAGTTTGTAGAAAAAGAACTAAATAAAATTGGTAAAAACCCACATATAGATATTTAACAATCATCACAAACCTAACACCAGTTTCACCTTTTATCCTTGGCTTGCCCAAAAAATTACGATGAGTCGAATAAAGATATGACGTGAGTACAATTTTCAAGAATATGTAAAGAAACCTGAGGAAGAGGTTATATACGTGGAACTTCAAGACCCCTCGATGTAAGTGAAAATGAACATTGTGAATATATGTAGAGAAGACAGATGATGGATCGAGGATAGCAGAGCAAGTTTTGAAATCAAGGGTGATCACATAATAAAATGGAGTGAAATGAACACCTAACAACCTCACGAAAAAGTTAGGAGACTCAAAGAATCCGCAAATATTATTTTGGAAGGTAACAAGTCAAATTCAAATAGCTCTGCAAACATCTTGTATGCGTATTCAGGTTGATTATCGAATGTAACATCTGGACATTTTCCTTTTTTGAAGTTTGTCAAAGGAACTTTACCCATTTTTGAGTAAGGTTTTTTTAATTTTTTTTTGTGTTTTGAGAACAGAAAGGAATTAACGTAACTCCAACACTAAACGAAAACTAATACCAGTATCATTTGCTTGTACATTCCTCTCATCAAATCCCTCAAGAAATATGTTATTCTTATTATTAATGTTATGAGGTTGTTTTAGAAGTTTTGCCCGTTTTTTATGAGTCTACTTCAAACTGTAATCTCTCAGTGATTACTTGTTCAATTCAAATTAAATTAGCATTATTTGAATCAGTGCACTTCCACCAACGTAACGAAACTTGATTGATTTCGTCAGCATGAAAATTGTTTGCTCGAGATTTGATGGAGTTGACGAAGTCCGTTTTTTCTTGGTCCTAATTGGCTAAGGTTCTATCGGTGAGAAAGTTATCCATGCATTTGAAAAGATGCTAGTCGGTTGGCGAAAGATCTGGGAAGTATGGTGGCTGAGGCAGAACTTCGAAACTCATTTCATTCAATTTTCAGACGGTGAATGGTATTTTTTTGCCTTTGGGAAGCGCCTAGGTGGTTCATTGATATCCAACCACTTTCCCCAAAGTCTTCTATTGTTATTGAGGAACCACTTTTCAGCACACGTGTGGATTCGATCTACATGTTTCGCTATTAGAGTAGCTTATTTGTAGTGAATAACATTAGTATGTGATAGCGAAACATGTAGTTATATTTTTGGAAATGAAGTTTTGTGAAGATCAATTCGTTTTTGATGTACTTTTTGAAAATACTATCATTGCCAAATGCCTAGGCAAAAAATTTAAATTTGGAAAAAATAAACGGCACCAATGTATATAGTACATATTTTTCTATCGATCAGTATACACACAGTAGGATGAATATTCATTGAGAGACAAAATTTCTAAAACCACATAAAATTAAATTCCCTTTCATTACTTGCTTGATACTATTCAAGAAATTACCAGATAACCTTGAAGTACGTTTAGCTGTGGACTTGCTTGATGAGAGATATATTGGTCTATCTATTTATGAGTACTTCTAGGATAGAACTATCGAAAAGTTATGATTTCGATAGTTTTCACAAAAACGAATAAGGACCCATTATATCCATACAATTTCAGGAATACACACTCCTTCGGTTATATGAAATAAACGCAACTTCCTTGTATAAAATAAAGTGGCCAAAGTCTGAAAATATCAAACCCACTGGGTGCTTTGATTGAAAATGTTGTATAATTTTTTTGGTGGAACTTCTTCTCTGTTGGTTTATAGGAACATATATATTATACTCATTTTGAATAAGGAATATATTAGTTGCCTTGGGCATATCATAAACATTATAATTGATCTTCTAATCGATATCCTGGGAGCTATCGCGCTTGAAAGTAAATTCAAGCGTTCTGACAAACCGCTGCGACATGTAAGAAGAAAATTATTGTTCATATATCAGTAAGTAATTGTCAATTGCTTCATTTCTTGCCAACATTTTTCATATGGAAATGAAGAAGTGGAAAGCCAAAAAACTTCTCCAAAAAACGAATATCTTCTAAAATTTTTCCCATTTCATTTCAATTGAAATTCATAGTATATTACAGAAATTTTCAACAGTCTATTTTCACGCAAATAATGGTGATACGAGCACAATCATCTTTTAGTTATGCTGAATTGATACTTAAAAAAAAATTTTATTGACGCATTCCGTTCTACAGCTCTTTTCTATTTATATTATAGCGTGCTTTCCTGATTATATTCGAGGGTAGAATAGAATTTCAGTAAGTTACTACAATGATTGATGAACATTACAAAAATGGATAGGCTGCAATTGGAGAATGATTATTATTACTGCCTCTAAAATAGAGCCATGATACATTGGTTATACTGATATATTGTTAAAAAATGATTGGCTTAGTCATTTCATTGTGATTGTAGTGTTTTATTGTAGTGAAAGTCATACAAACTCTTACCTTTTTCCTATATCTGCAACCGTTTCAGGGATGTCTCGACGCAGAGGGTGAAGACCAATGTTCTGAACTTGAATTGAAGGGGTTATATTTTTAGGAGTGAATAATTTTTTGGGAAAGAAAGTTTTTGGCTTTCTACTACTCCATCTGATGCAAAAAAAGGGATGAGAGAATCTTCCAAAGAAAGAAGGAAGTAATCAATTTGAAACTCTATACATGAATGTGTAGATCATGGAAAGAAGTAACTTTCAGATACAAACTGAAAGAAAGTCCTCCTGAAACAGCCACTTTCATATAAACATTGAATATAGAGTTTCAAATTGATTACTTCCTTCCTTTCTTTGGAAGATTATCTCATCCCTTTTTTTGTATCGGATGGAGTAGTAGAAAGCCAAAAACTTTCTTTCTCAAAAAATGTTCTGAACATTCTAGATACCATAAGTTGAAACAGCAATACTTGATTATCAATACTTCTTCTTCTCATCTGAGCTAATTTGGCGATTTATATATAATGTATAAATACAAAATATTTATGATATTCACATAAAAATGAAAATTTTCCAAAAATAAAATAAATCCATCTAATAATGGATGAAATGTTTATATGAGAGTTTGTCGAATTCTAGGAAAAAATTATCATACTTGATTTCACTGAATATTAAATTGCTTTATTCATAGAAACATTTGAAATGAATGTGAACGATTTAGATTATTATGCATACGGACTTTCATTCACTGAAAAATTTGGTAGAAATATTTTCTGAAAACTCTCATTGGGTAACAAAATTTTATATGCTCCTTAAAAACATCCTTTTTTAAAAAAAACTCACAGTCGTTGCTATTGGATATGATTGAAGTTGAAAATATAATGTTAAGGAATGTTTGGTCTCTGATATATAGCAACGATCACTTATCCCCTTGTGCACTCCTACGGTACTGAAGAGATATGACTGTTGCCTTGCGCCCCAGGGGATTTTGAATCCGTTGTGGAAAATGAAAGATGTCAAATTCATTCAAGCTAATCATTTTCCATTCTCAGCAATACACCAGCTAATCTACAGAAGTAAATTGTTTTTACCGGGGAAAAACGAATGATATATCGATATCTTCCCTTCAAACTCAACTGACTCTACCAAGACCACTCTATTGAACGGATTATCGAAGTCCTTAGTCGAACGATAACCTCATCACTACAGAGTATAAAACAAAGTCGCTTCCAGCTGATTCACTGTGATGTTTGTCCATTCTGTATGTTGGGAGTTCCTTGTTCTGATGATTCATTTTTATGTTATTGATTTTGTTTACCCTTTTTTTTGTGGAAGACCTTTTTTTGTGGTTTCCACTTTATATCCTTGTTTTTTTGATGCCTCAGTGATTTGGTGTTTTGTTTCATCAGTCGTTTTATTTGCATTAATTAATGCCAATTTTCCTTAAATTATGATAATTTTCTTCTCCAATAGTGATATTACTTGCTCTTCATCTGCTATTATTGTGTCCTTGTCTGCTACTATGTTTCTTAATAATTTATTATCTTCTCTAAGGTAGGTTTTATATGTGAGGTATATGTCCTCTGTGTGTTAGTCATATTCATGTTTGCATCCAGCTTTCTTTTATTCACTAGACTGCTTAAGGCACGCGGGGTGAAAGTGTTCACCATATTTGTTATACTTAACTTTGTTTACTACTTTTTCACAGCAATGTTTACATACGTTAGTCTCATTTTCTTTGGGAGTGAATGACGGCCAGTCCGAACCGGTCGTCATCTTGCAAATGCTTTGAGCGGATAGAAAAAAAGTTAAAAACAACCCTCCTACAAGTTCAACAAAATTAATTCCAAACAAATTTTCAAATCTTCATCACGCATATGAAAATACTTCAGTTTTTTTTATAGAAAAAGCTCTGAAAACATAAATATATTTGGGTACTCATCGACGCAAGAAATATACTTCCAATTGAATTACAAAAATTGAATTTGATATCATTTGTTCAGACTAGTCAGTGCTACTGTGATTTCCT